AAGGGTGTTATAAACAATAAAAAATGAAGTAAAATAATAAAACCATTAAAATAAAGTATTGTTTGATTACTAAAATTTACTATAAAAATGATAACATGTGTCTTAATTCAAGTTACATGAACATATTAACATATAAATGCTGAATGTGTAACCACAGACTGACTGACTGAGCATGTACCACTGGCTGGTAACACTTACACATTACCCAGGCGAAAAAAAAAATAGTTCCCACTAACACAGCCTTTGATTTAGTTTTGTTATATTCCACTGTGTTCCTGATATACACAGAGGTGGGTAGAGTACCTAAAAGTTGTACTCAAAGAGTAGCACTACTTCAACATGTTTTTACTCAAGTAAAGGTAAAAAAATAGCCATCCAAGAAGTAACTCAAGTAAGAGCAGAGATACTTCATAATAATATTACTCAAGTAAAATAAAAAAGTGTATTAAAACTATTCCTTAAAGTATTTTTTCAAGAAAAAAGTAAATGTAACTGAGTAAGTGTAACTAGTCGTCACTATTCACCTCTGAATATTCATTACCTAAAATTACTGAAGTATCAAAGTATCCACATTTTGATTGCAGAATCGGTTTTAGAGCATAAAGTCCTGGTATTGGTGGTATTATCAATATTTCAGTATTGATCTGCACATCACCAATGACACTAACTAACCAGTACTTAATTTTTTGCCACTTTTGTATTATTGCCATTTGGGTTATTTTGCACTTAGACTTGTGGTTACAAATAAAAAGGCAGGTTGAGAGAAGATGGTTTTACATTTTAGATCACTCTGATGACATCACATCCTGTGTGCGCATGAGCTAAGTGCCATACAAAAACAATCTCCAGGAGATAAACAGAGAGGATAAAAAGAATTTATAGAATCACAGCTTAAGAGCAATACAGTGGAAAATGCTTAGATATAGAACTGGTTAAGATTACAACTAGGATTACTGTGGAGCAAGTTATTTCTTTTTCTTTCAAATGACCGTGTGCCCTCTCGGGTGAAAATAAATAGTAAAACTACTGGTGACAACACGAAAATAATAGCACTTCTATTCTTGAAAGGTACTGCTTTGCATTTTGCTCAGTGGGAATAAAAAAAGTAATTCTTTGTATTTTGTTTGCTTTTCTAAACAAACAGGCAGACGTTTTAACTGGTGAACTGTAGGATGTTTTGTCGATTTGCACATGTATATAATTTCTCAGTGTATTTAAAAATGTAAATTGTTTTTGTGGAAGTTTTCAGTTATTTTTTTTTACACGAGACTATCGTTATTATGTTTTGACTAAGGTAAAAAATGTAAACACTTTTACTGGATGAAATGTGAAAAATTTTAATTAGCATTCTTTAAAGGTTTAAGTAGTTTGTTTTAACATATATCAAAATAATGCAACATTCCTGTAACCACTTTACAGTCTATTCTTGGCAACTCCCTAAAAGTAAAGTAGCCACTGACTGAATTTTGACTCTTCGGGTCTTGCATGCCTGGACTTTGAAGACCCCCCTGGGCAAACATAAATAACATAAATCTTTTTTCTTTTTTTTAGTTGACTTTATTTTTAGCAGAGGTTGCAGCCCTGAAATACAGTATTTTAGAGATGTTCTGTAGAGCTTTAAATCCCAGACTTCTTATGAAGATTTTCCAGCCAAACCTTTAAAATATGCCTGGAGAACCCAGAAGTGAACTTTGCAGCTTACAGCGGGTAAAATAAGTATTGAACACGTCACCATTTTTCTCAGTAAATTTATTACTAGAGGTGCTAATGACATGAAATTTTCACCAGATGTTGGTAACAACCCAAGTGATCCATACATACAAAGAAATCAAACCATAAA